TTTTTATACCCTACACCACAAGGTGGTCAGGGTATTATGTCTTTGTGCATTTGTTTGTAACAGGCAAAAGGAAACGAGATAGACCCATAGTTCCTTTTGATGATCTGCATAGAATGACATTCTGAGTCGATATATGCATGTCCGTCCGTCCGTCTGTTCATGTATTTTTGTAAACAAAGTACAGTTCGCATTTATTGCCCTATCCAGATGAAATTTTGCACAAATCATTTGTTTGGCCCAATAACGAACCCTATTGAAATTGGAGATAATCGGTCAAAATTTAGATATAGCTCCCATATATATCTTCGTCCGATTTGCCTTTTATTGTGCACCAAACGTGTAATATCAGTCTGAATAGTATGAAATTTTGCACGTACGATCAGACTGGACCTGAAAATAAGTATGTTAAATTTGATCGAAATCGGTTCAGATTTGGATATAGCTCCCATATATATTTTTCATCCGATTTGTTATTTTTGTCCTCCGCAGCCGTAATATGCACTCTGTAACAACAATATTTGGGGAAATATATCAAATGCAGCTCAGAAATACCTTTGCAAAATTTTATCGAGATCGGTTCAGATTTGGATATAGCTCCCATATATAACTTCGTCCGATTTACCTTTAATTGTGCACCAAACGTCTAATATTTGCCCAAATTGGATGAAATTTGGCACTTACGACCGAATTGAGTCTAGAAGGTAGTATGTCCAATTTGGTGAAGATCGGTTCAGATATAGCTATAGCTCCCACATATACTATTCATCCGATTTGTTATATATGTTACCCACAGCCGTAATATGCACTCCGTAACAACGATATTAAGGAAAATATATCAAATACAGCTCAGAAATATCTTTGCCAAATTTTATCGAGATCGGATATAGCTCCCATATATATGTTTATCCGATTTCAAATTAATTGTGCACTAAATGGGCAATACAAGTCCGAATTGAAAAGATACAAATGCTTCGGTTTAATTATTCCTTTGAACTTTAACTTATAATTATAATCATAGCGTGTATGACTGAATTCTCCCATAAAAACTTTTAATTGTTATGCGCAGCTCTACTAAATTAGCAAGTGGTGTAGGGTATCATAAAGTCGACCCCGCCCGACATTAAGACTTTCTTTACTGTTTTTTTTTAAAAAAAGACAATTTAAAAAGTATTTGTCGGCTTAGTCGAAAGATGTATACCCTCAGCCAATGTTCGATTATTCAAATATATTTTGACTTACGTTATAATAATTCAAAATATTGACACTTCAGAGGACAGGTCCCAAGGTCTTATATAGATGTACCAGATTTGGGTTAAATCGAATACTTCATTTACCTTACATGGGAAATGTACAGGGTGATATGATAAAACTGCAACCAACTGCAGACTGCTGTCATTTATAAGCCACTCGTCCGACAGCTCTTAAAATTATTCCAGTGACAGCTCATTATATTCTTCACAAGCGTACAAAAGCATTTTGGTGAGAATTTCCCAGAAAAAAAGTTATTCGAGTTCAAGCGTGATAGTGTGGTTTCTTTATATTCGCCTAGAAAACCACAAGTGGCTATCGTTAGAGCACTCCAGCAATTAAATGTGAACAAGTCTTTTGTGTCTCGTTACATCGCTCGTTGCCGTGATACTGGTAGCGTAGCTCGACGTCAAGGAATTGGACGGAAGAAAACAGCCACATCAGCCAAAATGTGGTTCGAAAAATAAAGAAGCGACTTTATCGAAAACCGCTTCGCAGTGGCCGAAAAAAATGCTTGTGAGCTGAACATATCGCAATATTCCTTCTCCATTCGGCAAATATTGAAAAATGAGCTCTGGGTAAAGCCATTGAAATTCCAAAAAGTGCAAGAACTTATACCGCAACGGAAAGAAAATAGACTCAAAAGAGCTAAAGAGTTGATTCGCTTGGCCGAAAGTGGTGAACTACCGAATTTGATTTTCTTCGATGAGAAAACATTCGTTGTCCAGCAGTTTATAAACAAACAAAATGATCGGGTTTACTTGCCAAAGAGGTCAGCTGAAAATGTGCACCTTCGGTTGGCCACCAGAACTCAAGCGCCGGCCATGTTGATGGTATGGGACGCCGCTCGTATTAATCGACCGTAGCATCAGAATAAATGCCGAATATTATCGCGAAAATATTCTGGAGGGGGTAACATTTTGGCCGCAGACCTTGGACATTCCAACAGGACTCAGCACCACCGAACTCAGCACGCGCCACCCAAGAATGGTTACAAAATGAGGTTCCTCGCGTCATTTCCAGCCCACAATGGCACCAAAATCTCCGGATACCAATCCGTTAGACTATTGTGTCTGGAGTATTTTGAAAAGGAAGGTTGGCACTAAAAGGTGCCAAAATGTCGATCACCTTAAGCAAGTGCTTCGTCGGGAATGGGCCAAAATACCGCAGAGCAACATTCGTACAGCATGTGACGGTTTCATTGGCCGTTTGAAGGCCATAATTCGTGGCAAAGGTGACCAATTCGAACAAATCTAAACTTATTCTAAAATTTGATGCTATTTCCGATATTTTTTGCTTTCATTCAAAAAAAAAAAATTAAAAATTATGCTGTTTGACTTTATTGCAGTTTTTTCATCTCACCCTGTATACCCACAGCCACTGGTAGTTTATTTCAATATATTTTGACTTGCCCCTTTATAGAGCTTGGAACCTGTTCGTGGGCTAATGTTTTCCATTTTGTATCTGACCTAAGTCTGATATAGATCTGCCAGATTTGGGCTATATCGACTACTTCACTCACCTTTACCTGAGAAATTTAATAGTTTTTGAAAAATTAAGAAATTTGCGCGAGGTAACAGGTGTAACTGACAGAAGTATTTATTTCCATGTTTATGCGAATAAATAATAAAAATTGCAACCTTTTGTGGGGGAGATACCAGAAGTAGTGAATTCTTTAGTCACATCAGATCTCAGGTCAAAAAGTTTTAAAAGAATCGCAAAATTATGACGGATATAAATATTGAAAATTGTGACCCTTTGTGGTGGAGATACCAAATAGGGTAGGCCGATATCTATCGTCTTCACACCAGACACTTTGTTAACAAAAAATATTGAGAAATGTGAAATTTGAAGGGGATCGGACGCTTACATCGCATTTACAAGCGTTTTGGTTATTCAAAATTTTGTACCTTTGTGGGGAGAGGTTCCTAACAGAGTGCACCGATGCATTCCATTTTTACGCCAGGTCTTGTGTTAGTAGATATATTAGGATGTGTGCAATTTTAAGTGAATCGGAAGCTTACTTCGTTAATTATAAGCGTTATAATTATTCCAAATTTTGAGCCTTTGTGGGAAAGGTACCAGAAGGGATGGGTCGATATCTATCATCTTCACACCAGTCCATGTGTTAACAAAAATATTGGGAAATGCGGAATTTAAAGGGAATCGGATGCTTACTTTTAAAATTATAAGAGATATAATTATTCAAAATTTTGACCATTTGTGGGGGAGGTACCGGAAGGAGTGGTCCGACATATTTTACCTTCACACCTGGCATTGTGCTGATAGAAAGATTGAGATATGTAAAATTTGAAGAGAATCTGATGCTCACTTCGTATTTTATGGGAGATATTATTATTCAAAAATTTGACCCTTTGTGGTGTAGGTACCGGAAGGAGTGTTCCGATATACCCCACTTCCACACCGGGTCTTGTGTTAATGAAAATATTGGGATGTGTAATATTTGAAGACCATTGGACTATTATTTCGCATTTTATAAAAGTTGTAATTATTTGCAAATTTTGACCCTTTGTGGGGGAGGTACCAGAAGCAGTGGTCCGATATATCCAACCTTCACACCACTTCTTGTGTTAACAAAAATATTGAAATGTGTAAAGTTTGAAGACAATCGGAATTTTATTTCCCATATTATTTAAGTTATAATTATTCCAAATTTTGACCCTTCGTGGGGGAGGTACCGGAAGGAGTGGTCCGATATATCCCACCTTCATACCAGATCTTGTGTTAATAAAAATATTGGGATGTGTGAAATTTGTAGACCATTGGACTATTATTTCGCATTTTATAAAAGTTGTAATTATTCCAAATTTGACCCTTCGTGGGAGAGGTACCAGAATCAGTGGTCCGATATATCCAACCTTCACACCAAATCCTTTGCTAATAAGAATATCGGAAGGTGTGAAGTTTGAAGACAATGGGACTTTTATTTCCATTTTAATTAAAGTTATAAATTTTCCAAATTTTGACCCTTTATGGGGGAGGTACCGGAAGGAGTGGTCCGGTATATCTCACCTTCATACCAGATCTTTTGTTTATAAAAATATTGGGATGTGTGATATTTGCAGACAATCGGACTCTTATTTCCCGTTTTATAAAAGTTATACATATATTCCAAATTTTGGCCCTTGGAGGTGGAGGTACCGGAAGGAGTGAGCCGATATATTCAATCTTCTCATGACATCTCGTGTTGGTACAAATATTGGAATGTGTGAAGTTTGAAGGCAATCGGATGCTTATGACCCATTTTACAAGAGTTATAAATATTCCAAATTTTTGATCCTTTGTGGGGGAGGTACTTCATGGAGTGGACCGATATTGTCAATTTACGCACCTTACTTAGCACTGATGCAAATATTAGGATTTCAAGAGTTGAAGCAAAATCGGATTATTCTTTCTCATTCTCTGAAATAAAACTATTTCTTTGAAAATTTGGACCTTTTGTGCGGGACGTGCCAGAAGGCGTGGACCGATATTATCCATGTCCCAGCTCGATCTAAGTTTGGCAATAATATTACGATGTATCAAGAAGACATTCAGATTCGACTCCAAATGTCCTGAAACGGATTTGATTAAAAGAGACATAGGTCGTTAACCGTTATATCGATAAAGTACGTTTCGGCCCTCTCAAATGATATATATACCCTCCGTAGCCATATGTTTGAGGGTAAAAGGAAACAGATAATGGATAAGAGGTAAAAAAACATTTATTGCTTATGTAGTTGTTATAAAAATTAATCTATTTTTAAAAATCTCCCATTCACTGTCTCTTCTGTTTTGTGCGTTTCGTTTGCGTTCTGAAACTCTTCGCTAAGCCCTTAATCAATAAAATCACAAAGTAAACAAAACATGACAATATAAACGCAATTCCGCCATACAAAATCAGCATAGCATCAATATTATGATATTCGATGAAACTCAAATCCAAACCCGCACAATGCATATATTCCGCACCCTTGTGGCGTACAACATGTTCCACCCAATAGATGGCCTTTTCCATGGGTAGCATTTCCTGGTCACGATATCTGTCGGAAATTTCATTGATTCGCTGCTGGAATGAGGAGTTGCTTAAAATTCTATTCAAAGCCTGTGTTAGTTTATCCGCCGTCAAGGTTTGATAATCCAACATCAGGCCATAGCCCTGCTTCTCTGCATTGGCCATATTCAGGAATTGATCGCCGAAAATAGGTATACCAATGACGGGAGTACGATGATAAATACTCTCTGTGGTACTCAGCAGGCCTCCGTGGGTTATGAACACCTTAACCTTTTCATGGGCCAAAATATCATCCTGAGGATACCAATCACGTATGAGCACATTATCAGGTTTACCCTCCAATTCCGAATCTTCGAATTTCCACAAAACCCTTTGTTTGAGATTCCTGAATGCCTTGAGTATTTCATCCTTCTTGGCCTGAGGCATATTTTTACTCTTCAAATTGGAACCCATGGAAAAGTAGATAACACCATGTTCCGATTCATTGATGAATTTGGCAATATCCTCGGGCAAGGGTTTCGCTTTCCTATTAATGTGCATGCCACCCACCTCAATTTGATTGGGCACATAGGGCCGGGCAAAGGCCAACGAGACATGGGTGTTCAACAAAACCAAGGCGGCATTGCGCCTCACCTCATACATGTCCCTCTTGGCCTGGGGGAAGTACTTATCATACAGAGCCGCCTGCCGAGGCAAATAATATAAATCCATAAAAAGACGATCAAATGTCACAAAGGCCAAGTTGCCAACACGTTCCGTCAGGGTCATGTGATTGGTGAATTTCATGCCAGTGCCAGGCACATACGAGGGGGGTGATGGGGAGCCAACCTGGGAGAGGAAAACATATTTAATTGAAGATTCAACTAAGTTTCTGAGTAAAAAACTCACCATATCCGTATTCCACAAGGCCGCTCCAAAGGTACCCAATCCAATGAGGGGTGCCTTGAAATGTTCACTTAATCCAAACAGGGCTTCAGATAAGAAAACCTCACAAATCACAGCATCAAAGGTGTGATTACTGGCCATCAACTCTTGGACATTTGGTTCCGACAGCACCAAGTCCGTCCAACTAATGCCCATTTTATAATAGTTCATAACATTCTCCACCATACTTCTTTCGTGGTGGGAAAATAAATTATTTATTTCACCTGAAATGAAAAAAAAAAAACAGATGTAGATAAATTTGTTTCAATTAAAAGAAACTTGAAACATTTGTCGGAATCGCTAGATTTTGACCACATTCCAAAACAAATCTAGAAAAAAATAAGAATCAGAAAAAAAAACAAGAAAAATACAAAAAATCAATACCAAATTCAATTTGGAACAAAATTTGCTATTCTAAGAACTCCCCTCAAAAAATTTAAAAAGTATAGTTTATCTAAGAAAAATCGGAAGCGATATTTGAATTTTTTTAAAAAAAAAAGAAAGAAACGACTTCTCAGAGGAAAATTATTTTTAATCTAGGGTCACTTCCTTAAACTTTACATATCAAAGTAACCTACAGAGAGAGGCAAAGTTCCAAGGTATTTTAAAATTTTCGAATTAAGATTCCTCGGAATTAGTTCATTTTAGGTGTATAGTGTCTTTGGCAACATGATTGATAACAATACGGGGATTATTTTCGTCAATAATTTTAAAACTCTAGGAAGTCGGTAATGGGGTCTTTTTGGTACTTCTTTAAAAATATGGTCAAGAACTCCATTTAAAGTGGATCGTAGCAAGTCAAAATATTCCACAAAATTATTTGTCATAAAATTCTGTTATAGTTCTCAGAATGCAACAAAAGTCTAAAACTTACCTAAAAGGCAGGAATCCATAAAAATAATAAAACATATTTAGGGTTAATGGCGTACTTCCTGTGAATTTAGGCCATATTCGCCAGAAGGGATGGTTCGATCTCTACCATCTTTATAGCAGATCTTGTGTTACTAAAACCTCTTGAGCTGTGCCAAGTCTAAATGGAATCTGATGTTTATTGCAGCCAGCCAGGAAGACGGGCGAACGGATATCGTTAGATCGACTCCAAATGTCCTGAAACGGATTTAGTCCAAAGAGACCCAGCGTCTAAGAACCGAGCCCTGTCTATTTCCGAAAACTAGGTTTTCCATGCCTTACCTCATGGTAAACCATCGTTCTACACTAATAAACAACCGTTGTTTAAAAAAATCAACAACAATAAAATGGGATTAAGCCTAACTATTTTGCAACAATGACTCCAAGGAATCTTCGGGTATCCTATACTCGACCCGACTTTTAGCATTTCTTTACTGTTTTTTTTTAATTGAAGTCTTTCAGGACAAAAGCATTCAATTTGATTTATTTATTATTTTTCAAGGTGTCACCAATCTATCAAAGCCGATTTTTACGAAGATTAAAAAAAAAAAATCGGAAGCCATTGATGACGGTCTTTTGGGTAATTTTTAGGATTCCCAAACCCACTATCCTACATTTTTAAAAAGATTTTTCAAGGAATTTTAGAGTCAAGAATATTTAACGTTTCGAGAGTCGAGAAAAAAACAAATAAAAGAGCAGTAAGTTCGACCGGGCCGAACTTTGAATACCCTGCACAATTTGGAACAAATTTTGAAATTTTCAAAAAAAAAAGAAATAAATAAAATCCGTTAAAAATGCTACTAAAATACTGAATGCTTGGAGGTACCGTTATATCGAAGCTATACGAAGACCTGGACCTGGATATACAATTATCTGTTACACGCTGTGGGGCCTATTAGAAACTTCAAATACGGAATTTCAAACAATTTCGGTGAAAATTGTACCTAAAACCAAATGCCGAATATAGGGGGGTACTGAAGACCTTCACCTGCATAGACAATTTTCTGTCATAGACTGTAGTTCCCACTACGAACTGTAAATACGAAATTGAAAACAACTCCAGTGAATAATCTCGCTAAAATCATCAAAATGCCGAATATTGGGAATTGCCGTTATATGGAGGCTATACTAAGACGTGGACCTGCATACGCAATTTTTTTTCACAGGCTGTAGGACTCATTACGAATTCTAAATCCGAAATTTGAGACAACTCCGGTAAATAATGTCCCTAAAATCGTCAAAATATCGAATATTCGGGGCTACCATTGTATGAGGGCTGTAAGATATCGTGGATCCATACAAACTTTTCTATTCCAGGGGGTTAAGTGCTTAGAAAGAAAATCTAGTATGGATTTTTAGACAATTCCGTTGAAAAAATTTGGCTACAATCATCTAAATACCGAATATCAGTGGGTACCGCTACATGGGGGCGGCTATACGATATCGTGACCTATATAGACAATTCTCTTTCAGGGGTAAATTACTCACAAAGAACTCCTTGTGTGGATTTTCAGACAATTCCATCAAAAAATATGGCTAAAATTATAAAAATACCGAATATGGGGGGGGGGGGGGGGGGGGGGGGGTTACCGTTATATGGGTCCTAAAAGATATGGTGAACCTATACAGACAATACTCTTCCAGGGAGTAAAGTACTCAGAAGGAACTACTTGTGTGGAGTTCATCGAAAAGTTCCATTTCGTTACAATCATCAAAATACCGAATATTGTGGGGTAACGCTATATGGGGGCCGATGGTGAACCGATAAAGTCCTTCTTCGAACTATACCTGTCTGCAGGAAAAATTTTAACTTCCTATTTTTATTCGTTTCGACTCCAGCGTGATTACAACAGACCGACAGGCGGACTTTTAACAGGCGGAATTTTACGCAGATCAGGAATATTTATACTTTGTTATGTCTAAAATTATTACTTTGATAAGTTACAAACGGAATGCCGAACTTAATATATATCCTCCATACTATGTTTGGTGAAGGGTTTAAAATTATTAAAATTTGGCTTCGGTCTTTCCAATATCGGTGTAAGATGAATTTGTCCCAATGTGCGAGGCGCATTTCAAATAAAAACCAATGAATTCCAATAATATTGATCAAGACCCGAAAATTTCAAAGGACTGAGGTCCCTTAAGGTTATATTGCGAAGATATCCTTCAAAAAGTTTATGCACTAGTCGATTTTGACGATTTTAGGGACATTATTCACTGGAATTGTTTCAAATTTCGTATTTAGAATTCGTATTGGTTTCATATTAAGAGTTGGTAGTGGGACATTAGTCTATGGCAGAAAATTGCAAATGGAGGTCCAGGTCTTCGTATAGGCCCCATATATCAGAACCTCCCTATATTAGGTATTTTGACGAAGTTAGGTCCAATATTCACCGAAATTGTTTAAAATTTCGTATTTGAAGTCCCTAACAGGTACTATAGCGTGTGACAGAAAATTGTCTATGCAGGTCCAGGTCTTCGTATAGCCCCTATATAACGGCACCTCCCTTTTTTGATGATTTTAGCTACATTTTTCACCGGTTTTTTTTTTAAGTTTCGGATTTTAATATTATAATGGCTTATGACAAGAGTTGCTTATGCAGGTCCACGGCTTTTTGATGATTTTTTTTTGAAAATCTCCAAATTCGTTCCAAATGGTGGAGGGTATTCAAAGTTTTTTTTTACATGTTAGCTCTATTTCCATAATCTTCCAAGTTTTTCTTGTAACAATTTTTTATGTTGCCCAGTGTATTTTACCAGTGTGCCGAGATATATTATCATGTAGGTCATTGTGTGTTTAATCATATTAAAAATTGTAATTCTCTTGATAATGACCCCTCATTATCTTGTGATAACTTTCTTTTGGAATCAAACTATCCAAACTATTTCCTTGATTACAAAATCTGGAAATTTAAAAAAAAAAAATAATTTTTTTATTTTAACTTGTTATTTCGTCACTGTAATCAACAATTTCAGCATTCGTACAACCCTTTCCTTAGTGTGGTCCCAACTGTTTCGGTACACCTGAATCCAACAACTTTATTATTTGAAATTTCTTCAAAATTTCATCATTTTAAGATATGATCAAAAAAATGATTTCTGTTGCCCCCCAAAAAGTAGCCTATTTTTATACCCGGTGGTCAAGTATAAAAATTGATTCGTATTTTATCAGCCATTGATAATGGCTAGTCTAGAAATTATGTCATTGATATTGGGTTGATTGTAAAACATACGAAAAAAACAGGCTACACACACACACACACGCCATCTGATAGTGGATTATTCAAAAATGTATTCTTGTCATTAATCAAGCGATCGCAGAACATAACTGATAGTATAGTTCTCCCAAAGATTACACAAAGCAGAAAATAAAAAAAAAAAAAAAAACGCTGAGACACGTATTAATTTTTGCAAGTCATGATGAATATTTGTTTTCGTAAACAATGATTTGCAAAATTAGCGTAAGCGGATAATTGGCTTCTAGCATGTATCGTGAAGTGAAATTTTAAATATTGGATAAAATTCTATGCAAATTTTCAAAATCATAAGTAATATGCGGTTTATTTATTTATTTTTATTATTATTATTATTATTATTATTATTATTATTATTATTATTATTATTAGTATTATTATTATTATTATTATTATTATTATTATTATTATTATTATTATTATTATTATTATTATTATTATTATTATTATTATTATTATTATTATTATTATTATTATTATTATTATTATTATTATTATTATTATTATTATTATTATTATTATTATTTTTATTTATTATTATTATTATTTATTTATTTATTTATTTTTTTTTTTTTTTTGAAGCTCCAACCCAAATATGGCTTAATTAGATTGTGGAAATGACTCTAGCTTCCGAACAAAATAAAGTAGGTGGATAAAATTTTACTCAAATATCTACTATGTCTGCAAGACTTTTGGTATTGAAAATAGGTCATGTAGGTCCACGTTTTGGTATTGCCCCCATATAAGGGTACCTCTGGATATTCGGTATTTTGATGATTTTAGATACAATATTCATCAGAATTCTTTCAAATTTGGTATTTGAAGTTCGCAACGGATACTACTGTCTAAGACAGAAAATTGTCTGTGCAGCTTCACGTCTTCGTATAGCCCCCATATAAGGGTGCCTCCCTATTTTCGGTTATTTCATAATTTTAGCGACATTATTTACCGAAATTATTTCAAATTTGGTATTTGAAGTTCGTAATAGATACTACAGCCTAAGACAGAAAATTGTCTGTACAGGTTTATGTCTTCGTATAGCCCCCATATAACGGTAC